TTTTTTTTTTTTTTTAACTTTTCCAAACTTTATAACAGGGCTCCTCCCCTTGGCACTGCTGACAGACAGGGTTGGCACTTCTCTAGGGTGAGGCCATCCCATGCACTGGAAGATGCTGAACAGCATTTCTGACCTCCATCCCCTCCAAGTGAATAACAGCCCCTCCAAGTCATGACAACCACAAATGTCTGTGGGGACACAATCACCACCACCACCCAGCCCCCTGTTTGAAAACCACTTGATATAAAATACTCTGCTGGGACACCCAGCAAGAACTCACGACAGACCAGTTTTCCCCTATTAAAGACAGCTGTCTTTTTTTAAGAGATCACGTTATTCTAGGGCTGAGAAGATGATGGAAGAAGTGGTTGCTACCCCGGATGAGAAGAAACACACAAGCGGATGGACACATACCGATAGTCAATCAAGATGGGGAGAACCAAGGGGCATTACTACAGGAAGGAGCAGAACAGAACAGGGACAGGGCTCCTGGAAACCAGCCCTGGGAATCGGATGTGGCCATCACAGCAATTTTCTGGACTAGGTCTCAGAATGTAGAGATAATAAAAAAAAACCTAATGACCAGCTTGCACGGTGCTGCCCGGGTCTTGAAGAACTTTTCATAAATTTGAAGGCAGATCTTGCTGCCTGCCAAGAACCATCTGGAGGTCTGACTAACCCCTCTCGTAGTGTCTGCTTGGGATGGAATAAACCATCATAGATCCTGGGGTCCTAATAGCTTGGGAGAGGGGAAGTTTCCAGAGACCTATCTTCATGCGGGAATAAGGTACCCCAGGAATTCTCCCAAGATCTATGGAGGTATCTTTCCTGTAAGAGGAATTACGGCAGAGCTTGTTGTTAGGGGCCAGTGAGCACTGAGTAGATTCCACCTCAGAGAGATCTCATGTGACCGAGTGGAACTGAGCTCTTGGCCACTAACCAGGTGATGGTTTGGTCCTCTGGAGAAAGATGGGGCAGGTCTACTACCATAGCGATCACAGCCTTGGACACCTTGTAGGAGAGTTCTATGCTGGCACATGGGGCAGCAATGGTTTGTGGTTTTGGTCTTAATCTTTATGGGAACAGATCACCAGGTATTTCTCCCAAGGAGCTGTTGGGTGGGTTCAAGCTGCCAACCTTTTGGACAGCAGTTGAGCACTTAACCATTTGTGTCACTAGGGTTCTTTTGGGCCCAGGCTAGTGGGCACCACTCCAGGTGCCTGGGTCGAGCACATGGGGTCTGACGCCTACAGGACACGGTTCGGTCCAGGCCATATAATTCCTCTCTCTCAAAGCCTGTTTGGCAACAGTCCTCAAGTTCCTCTAGATGAAGGGTCTCTTTCCCCAGAATTTAGCTACCATCTGGATGTTTAGAGACACCCCCACCAGAGTGACACCTCTGGACCCCCATTGAGGTCATTACTTTTTTCTTCAAGGGGCAAAAAAGTCCAGCTGGCTGTTTACTGTTGGGGCCTCATTCCTCTCCAGGAGTCCTGGGGGATGCAAACAGCTAGTGTACTTGTCTGCTCATCAAAAGGTTGGAGGTTTGAGGCCACCCAAAGGTGCCTCAGAAGAAAGGCCTGGTGATCGACTCCTGAAAGAGCCACCACTGAAACCCCTCGGGAGCAAAGAGAGCCAGGAATTGGAAAAGGAATTGGCCTGCAGGTCTAACTGCCTCCATGAACAGAAAATACCATCACTGATAAAGAAATAAATCAATACATGAAGCCTGATCAAAAGGGGAAATATGTGGCACAGAATTTCAATTCTTACAAATCTCAGACTTACTGGACCTATTAAGACTACAAGAACCCCCGAATCTATCACTCTGAGAAAACCTCCAAGCCATAAACTCAAACTATCCCCCTGAAGTCATGTTTAAAGGAAACAAATGCTCAGCTAAATTAGTAAAGAATGTTTGCCATGAGCATTGGGCATTTTTACAAAATGCTCTTTAGGAGGTCACATGGTCAGCTGTAACTGGGCAGTACCAATGAAACAGATGGGGGGAGGAGGACCATGAGTCCAGGTCAGTAGTGGTGAAACAGTATGGAGAAAGACAGCGAGAACGGTGACACAACAGCCTAATCAACGCAGCCAACGTCACTGACTTACACATGGAGAAACTCATGAATGAGTGTACATTCTGCGTGTATTTGCACATCAATAAAAATTTAACAACCAAAGTAAACCAAACTCCTCTGGAGCACAGTTCTACTCTGATTCATGTGGGGCCATAAGTCAGAACCAAGTCCACAGCAAATGCTAGTTTTGTTCCTTCATTTTTCTTCTTTCCAGCCTCTCGAAGTTGTGGGGAGAGCCCACTCAACCAGGTTTACTGCTTCATCCTCCACGAAGACCATCTCCCCAAATTCCACACCCAGGCCTCTTAACCTGCGACGCAAGGACCCAAGATTCACCAGAGCTGGGGCCCCTGGGAAGCGATAAAGCAGATTTTGCATGTGCCCCGTTTTCTGGAAAGTGGACCTATAGTTTTCACCACATTCATAAACGATGGGGCTCAGACTTTCCTAAAACCCAACTATGCCTCTCAGATGGGAAATACATATAATCTTGGATTCAGCGTTTCACTTCTGGGCCTTTACTTATCCTGTCTATTCGATCTAACCTACAAGCACTGGCTACTCAGTGAAATACAGTTTGTAGCAGAAAAGCATCGTAAACACCCTAAATGTTGTTGTTAAGTGCCCTGAAGTCAGTTCCGACTAGTAGCTCGGTATAGGGTTTCCTGGATGTTTTAGAATCTTTCCAGGAGCAGAAAGTCTCATCATTCAAATGTGGAGCAGCTGGTAGGCTCAAACCACCAATCTTGTGGTTCGTAGTCTAGTGCTTATCCTAGCCATCGCGCTCCTCCCCCCACCAATAGATGCTGCTGTTGTTGTTGTTAAGTGCTGTTGAGTCGGTTCTGACCCATTGTGACCCTGTATAGGGTTTCCAAGGAGTGGCTGGTGAGCTTGAATCAGCAACTTTGCAGTTCAACCAACTTTGCAGTCCAAGGCATTACTCCAACAGCGCTACAGCCTGGTTAAATAAACTATTATATACTCATACTTCATGGAGGAGCCCTGGTGGCTCAAGGGTTAAGTAATCAACTGCTAATTCAGCGGTTCAAATCCACACAGGAGCTCCTTGTCAGAAAGACCTAACACTCTGTTCCCGCAAAGATGACAGCCAAAACCCCTCCAACTCAACATTTAATGACATGCTTCTTGGATTGGAATACAAGGTTACCTGTTAAAAGCTCCAAGAAGCTCTAGGGGGTTAGTACAGTCATTCTAGGAGGCGGGGTACAAACAAATGGGAGGTGATTCTGCCCTTCCTCTTCCCAGGACACCAGGTAGTATCTGGAGACATCTGTGGTTGTCTGGAGGCATCAAGTGGGTGGAGGCCAGGGATGGGGCTCGACACCCTACAGTGAGTGCACAGGATGTCCCCACTTCACCGCCAGAGAAGGAGCCGCCCCAGATGTCAATAGTGCTGAGGTTGAAAAACCTCAGTGTGGTCAACAGTATGATCTCCAAGTCACAGTTTACGAAACACACAAGGTATACAACCACATCTACAATGGGGGCACCAGGGTGAAGCTCTCCTTAAGATCGGCAGTTTGAACTCACCCAGGAGCTCCACGGGGCTCCCATGAAAATGACAGCCTAGAAAGCCAAGGAAGGGGGGCAGGTCTACTCTTTCACATGGGGTCTCTGAGTGGGAATCGACCCCATGGCACTCGGCAACCACAACCACTGTAGGTGCCTTTGACAGTAAAGAGCACACAGCTCTGGACTGAGACATGCGAATCTGGACCGGATGTCTGCGGATCGGGGAGGGAGCCCGACTTCACGCTACCGGGTCTATTTTGCATCAGGTCTACCACAAGGATTTTAACAAACTTGCTCCAGACAGATTTTTCTCTAGCAAGAGAAGGTTTCGGTATCATAGCCCCCAGACACAGCGCTTCCCCTTCTCCGAGCCCCCACCTTCAAAGAGGAGGGAATCCCCGTCTGTCCCCTTTGCCCATCCTTCTGGGGAGACGAGACCCCGCGGCGGGCAGGGCCTGCGCCGATCAGAGTCCCCCCACCCCACCCCCCGCTTCTCCTGGACGCCCCCACACAGCAGGGGACACGTGCCAACGCCAACCCCTCGGCCCCTTCGTCCCCTTCAAGAGCACAGCCGGGTCCACCGACTCCGGCAGTTTGCGACCCCCCGCTCGGCCTCGGCTCACCTGGCTCGCCTTGTAGAACTGCTTCTTTAGCCCCGCCACCGACATGCTCCCTCCTGCCGTCGGGCCTCCCGCCCGACAGAGCGACCTGATCGACGGACAGCGTAAGCGACAGGCTCTCGCGCGCCGCCGAAATCTCCCGTGCCTCAGCGGCCCCTTGGTGCCGCCTCAGCCGCCTTCTCTCCAGCTCCGCGCCCGCCGTGGCGCCGCCTCAGCCCCTCGCGCGCTCGCGCGGCCAGGATATTACATGGCAACCGCACACTTCCGGCGCCAGCCCCCGCGCGCCCCGGCCCCGTCTGCGCACGCGCGCCCCCTGCCGGCCGGGGAGCTCACGTGCACTTGGCCGGCCGCAAGAGAGACCGCCTACACCAGCGAGTCGAGCAGTCCGAGCCTAGAGGAGTCATCATACCTGCAGCGTCTCCTGCCGACTGGAGGTGCTCCTAAAGTCCTTGACTTTGTTGCAAAGTTCTGGAGTTGGTTCCGAACCATAGCGACCCTGCATAGAGTTTCCTAGGAGCAGCTGGTGAGCTTGAACCGCCGACCTTGCAGTTCAAATGGCTTTGAAGTCTGGCTTTAACCCACAGCGCCACACCAGGACTCCAAGGGCTCAACGATTAGGCGGTAGACTGATAATCCTGAATGTTTGCGATTCTTATCCACCCCGCAGCTTTGCGGAAGAAAGATCTGGCAGTCAGTTTCCTAAAGATTGTTGTTAGGTGCCATCAAGTGAGTTCCGACCCATAGCGACCCTCTATAGGGTTTCCAAGGAGCAACTGGTGAGCTTGAACCACTGACCTTATAGTTCAAACCAATCTTGCAGTCCAGCGCATTCACTGACCACAGGGCCACACCAGCTCTCCTAAAGATTACAACCTGGAAAACCCTTTAGGGCAGTTCTGTGTCACATGGGGTCACTAGGAGTAGGAATTAACCATGGCACTGAAAAACAATCTCAACTATTCCCAATTCCTCTGTATGTTTATTCCCTCCCTTCCACCCTGCCCAGTGTTCATCCATTCATTTGCCTAAATCAGACATCCGTATTTAGCTCCTACCTCCTTTTTGTCATCTCCAGATAGGCATTTCTAAGTGTCTCAACTGAAGACAGGTTGGGGTGGGGTATACATACACAAGGTAACTTTATGTACGCCCTTACCACTGTGGTTCACAGCCTGGGGTGATTCTGTTCACCTCCCCAGGGACACCTGGCAAAGTCTGAAGACATTGTTGTAGTCCCTGGCATGTAGTAGATAGAAGCCAGGGATGATGCTTCTCAACACCCTACAATGCACAACACAGCCCCCTTCCCAAAGAATGATCTGGCCCCAAACACAACTGAAAGTGAAGTGAAGAAATCCGGGCGATGACATGTAAGGCAGAATTGCCTACTTATGGGTCTCTCTCTTATAGGAGAGGGACAAAGTGTTTATTCAGTATTATAGCACCTTGCTTGGTGACAATAACTATTTGTTGAATTAATGAATGAGCATTTTTACCCTCAGCACATAAACAGGGCCTGACACATGGAAAGTGCACAATAAAAGTCTATTGAAATAATTAGAAATTAGTTAGGACAAAGGGTTTGGAACTTCAATGCTGAAATCTTACAGACTGAGTTGATTTTTTGAATGCAGAAGATTACGAAAGTTTCCAAATCCCTCAGTAGAAATGGCTAGATTCATCAGATGATTGCTTCAGAATCTTCAGGAGAAGTTTCTTCCAAATATACATTCCCTGGCCTCATTTCCCAAAATCTTTATGCACTAGGTGGGGCTGTTATGAGTAGTTTGAAAAATCTCCCCATCTGATTCTGATATAAACCCTTGACTGTGACCCACTTGTATAAATCATCACAGAATACCACGATGACAGGAAAGGAAAGGAAAACATCTTCATGGTCCAGATGGGGAAACCCAAAGCCCTAAGTGATATGACATGGATTGCCTGAAATGATATTTCCCAACTCCGTATTTCTTAATGCTCCTTTCCCAACCAGTTCTACTGATTAAATTAGCCAATCACCAGCAATAGAGTTCCAAATTTAGATTCACTTCCCACCCAAATGTCTCTACCAAGGGTCTCTTCAGTGTGAGGCCTTTAACCTACATGAGCCATACTGTCCAATCAAATAATATATATTTGTTCATTTAAGTTTCCACTTAAAACCAAACAGCCACCACTTGTCTGTCAGTTTGTCATGCTGTGGTGGCTTGTGAGTTGCTGTGATTCTGGAAGCTATGCCACTGGTATTTTAAATACCAGCAGGGTCACCCAAGGTATACAGGTTTCAGATGAGCTTCCAGACAAAGACAGACTAGGAAGAAGGAGTGACAAACTACTTCTGAATCTTTAGTCACTGAAAACCTTATGAATATGAGGGAACCAGCATTCACTGAGGACCCATCTGAAAGAATGACGTCATCCACATCTCCACTGAGGCCCCTCCGGCAAGAGCACCAAGGAGTCAGCCAGAGGTTTCTACAGCAGAGAAAACTTTACGAACTGTTTAACCCTTAGAGAACCGGTTAAACTCCAGAGACTTTCTGCCGCTTTTCTTGACGGGCGTGGGGAATGGGTAGTTAACAGATGTTACAGACTTTGCAATCGTTCATCAACCATCGTATGTTTTATTGCCTGTTAACACTCTCAGAAGCTAGGCAAAACATTACGGTGCCTGGCCCTTAAACGTGCCA